TTTTCGTTTAAACTGTATTTTAGACCATCTAAAATGATAATCCATTGATAGAAAAGATTTACGGAACGCTTTTTTGTCTAAAAAATTCATTTTTCTAGTTGAAAATTCCAAGCTATCTGTAACGTATTTGTGTATCCTTTTTATTCGGTTACATATATCTAGGTATTTAAACCTTACGGCTAAAATAAGTTAAAATGCATAATACAAAGTTATATAATAACAGCAAGGAGAATTTTTTGATGTATCTAAAGTTGTCTGTTTCACAACCATTTTTATGTATGTTTTTTATCAATAAATATGACATTTATAATCAAATCGGCACCATTTTGTGAAAAATGAATATTTATAACACACTTGTAATAAATTCTAATAATAATTAAATTTAATAATAACATTTCCAGATGACAGTTTGATTATTTTTGTCAACAAAATCGTAGTAAATGATTAAGACAAGAGATGGCGCCACATACTAAAATGTCAACTAATTTTTCATCTTTGAAAATTAAAAAAAAAGTTCTTTTCGTTTAAACTGTATTTTAGACCATCTAAAATGATAATCCATTGATAGAAAAGATTTGCGGAACGCTTTTTTGTCTAATAAATTCATTTTTCTAGTTCAAAAATTCCAAACTATCTGTAACGTATTTGTGTATCCTTTTTATTTGATTATATATATTTAGGTATTTAAACCTTACTGTTAAAATAAATTAAAATGCGTATTTTGTGTGTATTTTACAACCATTTTTATGTATGTTTTTGTCAATAAATATGACATTTCTGGTAAAATCGGCACCATTTCGTCAATAAATATGACATTTATAATCAAATCGGCACCATTTTGTGAAAAATGAATATTTATAATACACTTGCAATAAATTCTATTAATAATTAAATTTAATAATAACATTTCCAGATGACAGTTTGATTATTTTTGTCAAAAAAATCGTAGTAAATGATTAAGACAAGAGATGGCGCCACATACTAAAATGTCAACTAATTTTTCATCTTTGAAACTTAAAAAAAAAAAAA